GCACTGAAATCATAAAACCATTTAGGTTGGAAAAGACACTTAWGATCAAGTCCAACCATTAAACTGGCATCACTATGTTTACCACTGAACTATATCCCTAAGTTCCATACCTACACATCTTCCACAGATACAACTCCATCACTTTCCTGGGTACCCTCCTTTGATGCTTGATAACCTTTTCAGCAAAAAAATTTTCCCAAATAACCAATCTAAACCTCCCCTGGCACAACTTGAGGCCATCTTGAGGTTCTCACTTGTTATCTAACAGACTGACTCCTACCTGACTACACCTTCCTTTCAGGCAGATGCAGAGTGACAAGGTCCCCCCTGAGCCTCCTTTCCTCCAGGCCAAACACCCCCAGCTCCCTCAGCTGCTCCTCACAGCACTTGTGCTCCAGACCCTTCCCCAGCTCCACTGCCCTTCTCTGGACACGCTCCAGCCCCTCAATGTCTTTCCAGCCCCTCAATGTCTTTCCAGCACTGACGGGCCCAGAACTAAACACAGGATTCGAGGTGTGGCCTCTCCAGTGCTGAGTACAGGGGAACGGTCACTGCCCTGGTCCTGCTGGCCACACCATGGCTGATCTAGACCAGGAGGCATTTGGTCTTCTTGGGCCAATGGGCACACCTTGACTCGTGAACACCTTGACTCATATTCAAGGCAACCAGAGCAGCAAARAATGCTGCTTAGCCATCTGAGTAGGAGGTAAAGGATGGAGAATCACAAAACAAAGACACAAAGTTTGTTGATGCATTAGAAACCACAGAAACACCTGAGAACAGACACACAGAAATCAGCATCTGTCTCCCAAAATAGGTGGCAGAATGCATAGTCCCAAGGAAGCACATTTATACCAATGCACACAAGCATAGGCAACAAACAGCAGGAGCTGGAATACATTGTGCAGTTGGAAAAATACTATGTAAAAATCAGTACAGTGAAAGTGCTAACTGAAGAGGCCATAACATTCAACAGCATTCCAGAAGTCTAACACTTCTTCCTTCTACCTAAATTTTTTCTTAGAAGTACAAAACACTATCTAACAAACTTGTAAATCTTGATCTAAAACAAAGAATGAAAATAGTAGCATTTAAACTAAGTAGATAATTCATACATCCAGTTAGCATCTACTGCCAGCCATATATGCAAGCAGCATAGAAGGCAGACTATAGAAATGGAAGAAAAGCCCAGCTCCCTCTCAAATCTAATATGCAAGAAACCCAGTTAGTCCCACCAAGCATTCAATTARTAAGATTAAATCACTGAAACAAAGTTAAGAAGTTGAAAATAAAACAATTTCAGTTGAGGAGTTAAGCACAACCATTGCAGTGGACACAGAACTCCTGCAACATATGGGGCTTTTAAGACCCTCATGAAGCAAGTATTGCCTCAAGGTTCTCAGAGGGGACACTTTGGTAGTCTTCTGAACTCTTATGAACTTCAACTTTCGATCCCTTTCCATAGATCAGTTGAATTTATTGTTACTTGTGATGGAAAAAATAAATAGTTCTCCAGGAACAGGGAATTTTCCATTAATAACAATTCTTGATACAAGCTCTTCACAGAACACCCCGTATTGCTTTTGTTGCCGTGTATACCAGTTGGTCACAAACTCAACGTGGCAGAACTTCACTAATTTTGTATTTAGTCCTCAAAACCAAAATTAAAACTTCTCTAACAACACAAGACCATGTCATGATGTCACTGGACCAAAGAAACCAAAATCCAAACCAAACAACCCCAGCAAAACTTCGAAAGACATTGTACCAGTTTTGGTCCCATATCCCTGTGTATACTTGAACAAGCTCTACAGAAGACAAACTTGCTTTCACTTTTCCACTGCCACTGTAACATTCTTGCTGATGCAAATCCTTCTTAGYATGTTATAACAGGGTAAGTAACAGTAGAATGCAATCACGTATTTGAGGTTAAAGAGGATTAATAACAATATAAAGCAAATTTAGTAGACAATAAAGTGGATTTATTGCTCTAATTAAGACAGTCTTCTACTAAAACAAGTTATGCAAACACCTAATAATGTTGCTGAGGACTTTGGTTCCTAGAGATGACCTTGCAGCACTAAGCACCAAGTATACTCCCCCCCAGAACAACACGGTCCTATCACATGACAYAGAAAGGCTGTACCACCATCATCACAGCTGGAGGAGKACAATGTGACACCTACTAGGATGCTTTTGTGCAAGATATTTACTGAGTCTTAGTAAGGTTTACTGAATCTGAGCTTTATGGCTGTTCTTGGCAGTATKCTCATCCTTTCATAAGCAGCCACACAAAGCTACAGAAATTTTTGTCAAACCAGCTCCAGTACACAACAGTCTGCCTCCTCCCAAAGGATTATTTGTCTTGATTGCTCCTGTAACTTTTTTGACATGAGGGATCATCAGATAGCACAGTTGTTGGACTGGAATGCACAATGAATCAAAAGTAAAATTAGATTACCCTTACATCCAAGACATAAGAGTTTAAAAATTATAATTAAAATTTTTAAACTGCAGCAGCAAGTCAAGGTTCAGAACAGATCACTTTAATAATGACAACATGCCATGCAAACTCTTAGGAGTCTTTGATGTGGTTCGTAATTTTAAATGCTCAGAATAAATCCCGATCTGAAGCCYTTCTCCTAGGCAGCGAGGTTTTGCAGTGAACCACTCATTCTTTTGTGTGTAAGCCACCAAAAAGTGACAAAGTTGCAAGCTTTGTGAATCTGGAAAATCTACCACATAATACGGCAAGGGACAGAAAAAAAGGGAAAAAAAATTTCAAGATATGAGTGGTGGAGAAGACTGCAACACCTGCACCCAAGCGAGGGACCCAGAGCGCAAGACAGGCACTGCCTTTTTGTTTTGTTCTCGGGCTGCACGTTCCCAGCGGAGCCACCGCGCTGCCCGCCGGCGCCTCTGGCGGCACAGCCCGCGCACAGCGCCCAGGCCCACCGCGGCAGCTCCCGAGCCTCTCCCCGGGCGCTTACAGCCTTACTCGCTCCTTCACTGCACGACTTGGGGATTTCGGAATACCCCATGCAGCTAAAAAACAGCCCCGTTATGAACAAGGGCAGGAACACCCCAGGTCAAGTTACATCCCAGTCCTACCCACAGGGATTGGCAACCAGCCTCTCCTTACCCAAGCTAACACCCAACAGAGATCTGCTCTGCAAATCCCACACAGACAAAACACCAAAAACGCTCGCTACTGAGAACCTGTGGGTTTCTCCAGTGTCCACCAGCTTTTTGGGGAAGGGGCAAAGCGAATGACTCAAAAGCCCAGCCAAAGCCCAGCCCACCCAACAAAACCASCCAAACAGATCTGCATTTATGGAGAACCAGTATGAATGCACAAAGAGATAATGGAATACGCTTCTCCATCGCAAACTGCTGGGTGATTTGAAATCTCCCATGCATCTGGGTTCCGAGATCATACGCAGGACATGGGATTCGAGCAACGAGGGAGAAAAAAATTCAAGATGGCTGAAGGTGTCTTGTCACGGATTTTCATRCACGCTCCAGAACTCTAGAGGGCACCCGAAATATGCCCTCCTCCTCCTCCCTCCTGCGCCGGCTAACGTGAGCAGCGGCAGCAGCCCGTCGTCTGCCTGCCGGAGTTGGTATTGCAGGAGCAGCGCCCACCTCGAGGAGGAGCCGCCTCACAGCCATTACTGGGGATTTGCCCCAGGGCAGCAGCTGCTGGACCCAGGAATTTCCCCACCCAAACCTGGAGGGACCCCTCATTCCACCCCCGCTCCCGGGAGAATACGGAGCGGAGGGGGGGGGGGAGATGGGGGGGATGGTTTAAGCCCTCCCTAGGCAGGTCTAGCGAAGGCAGAAATAGATACACAAATAGCACTCACAATAGAGCTCCCTCTCCTTGCTGGTCTCTGCCAAGCTGCACCAAACTGGGCTGGAGCCTAAGGAAAAGACACGGGGTTAACACGGGGCACCGAGGATCAGGCAGCGCCCCCAACGAGCGTTTCCTTAGACTGGGCCAGGGCAAGCACAGCCTGCATCACTCACCACTTCCCTTTAATCCCAATCCTTCACATAAATAAATAAATAAATAGATAGATAAATAAATAAAATATTCACTGCCCTCCGTGGGGGCGGTGGGGTATTCCTCAAGGCACACCCACGTCGCTTGCCCCCGCTGAAGAAAGGACAAGAAGCCCTCACGGGGCGCCGCCTCACCGGGGGCTTCTACGCGGGAGTGCGGGGAACAGAGGCAGCGGCGGCACCCACGGCGGGAACAGCGGGTGTTACCTGCGAACTTGCCCTATCAGCCCTGAAGAGGCGCCCGGGGGGCCGCGGGGCTCTCGGCGACAGCGCCCCTGGGCCGGACGAGCGCCCGCACCGCCCGCCCGCTTGCGCGGCAGTTGCCCCCGATCTCGGGTTTGCCCCCCTGCAGTCGGCCAGCAGCACTGCCGCCTCCTGTCCGCCATTAGAGGGACCCAGCCGAACAATACGGGAGGGGAGCAGCGGCGGCGGCAGGAGCCGCGGAGCGCCGGGCAGAGGAGGGGAGGGGAGAGGAGGGGAAGGAGGCACCCGCGGGGGTGCGGCGAGGGCGGTGGGTGGGGGAGGCACCGGGGCAGAACAACAGCCGAGGGCCCGGCGGGGAAGGGAGGGAGAGAGTTAAAATATGAGGCGCTAGAGAAGACCCGGCCCTTCCCCCAAATGCCCCTGCACCCCCCTTCGGGGCTGCCCCCCATTTACCCCGCCGCCCCCCTCCGTGCCGCGATGGTTACCCGCGGGACTGCCTCCAGTGCCGCCCGCGCCCCCGCCACCAGAGGTGGCAGCACGGCGGCGGCACAGCGGGGTACTTCGCCCGGGTAGCTGGGAGGCACGGCGGCTGCTCTCCCATCCCCGCCCTGGGGGCAGCTGAGCGCCGCCAGCCCGCCCCGGTGAGGCGCAGCGCCCTGTGCCCCCTCCTTACCCGGCTCCCCACCGCCTACAGGCACGGACCCCCCCGCGGGGGACGCACGCACTCTGCGCTACTCCTCCGGCGCCTCAACTCTAACTCGGTCCAGTCCCGGGCGAAGCGCAGCTGCTGGCGAAGGGGAGGAGAAACCGGGCCAAACGAGCTCGGGGAGATCCGCCTCCCTGCCCCGGCATTGGCTTTCCCAGAGGGCGGGCTCTGGCGCTGGGCTAGCCGAGTGGGTGCGCCGCCCATCCATCAGAGCCGCCCGCAGCCGGTTGACCCTATAAACTGCCAATCTTCCGCCTGGGCATGCTTGGGGTTCTTCCCACTTTGATCCCTCAGGTTTGAGGAACCCGGATCGTTGCCCACCAACCGGCTCGTTACCCGTGTCCGAGGGTTGCGCTGGCGTTCCCCGTGTCGCTTTTGACAGCGGCAAGTTGCAGAAGTTCTCGGTGGCGCCGAGCCTGCTGCGCTCCGCCGGCCGTGGGCAGGGTGCGCTGGCCGTCCTGGCCGTGCGCTCGGTCCCTGCGGGCGCCACCGCTCCGGCTCTGGGGCGCGGGCTCSGCTCTCCCGCTCCGTTCCCCGCCCCCGAGCCATAGGGTCTGGCATTGGTCCTCCCACACGTCCCACTCCGCTTCTTCCCTTCCCTCACCCGGGCTTTGAACCTGGGGCCATTCCCATGATGGACAGAGCATGAGTAATGGAAGCGGTCCCMGAGGGAAAAGGGAGAGTCTCCCAGGGAGGGCGCCTGGCCCACGCCACCACAGCCTGCCCGGCTGAGCAGCRCCTCCTCAGCCGAGGACGCCTTGCTGCCCCCGCCCGCCGCGGGGGAGGGCGCCATGTCAGCAGCCGACATGGCTCCTGGAGGAGCTGCTGGTGGTGGTGATGGTGGTGGTGGCAGTGGTGGTGGCGTCCTCCATTTTGTCGGAAGCCGCTGCGGGGAGCTTGGGACCAATTCGAACCAACGTGAGGCGCAGCGGGGCGCCCATTGGAAGAGCCTCCGTCCGGCTTCCCCGCGGGAAAAGGCGCCGGGTGCCCCCGGCAGTGCCGCGGGGTGGGGACGAATGCTCCGGCCAAGCGCCGGGAGCCAACTTTCCGCCCGCCCTCCGCCAAAATGGAGGATGCGCGCTTCCCTTGCGCGGCTCTTTCTCCCGCGCTGGCCATGGCACCAGCGCCCGCTCCTTCGAGGACCAGGGGAGCGCAGCCGACCGTCTGGCGCTCTGGTCCCGCTCTGCCCCATTCACCCRTCCTCCTCTGCCCAGAAGAGGGAGAGAGAGAGCGCGATTGCCGCCCTGCCTCCTCTAGCTGGTTTCAGTCCATGTCAACCACGCGGAGCTGCGTCCCCAGAGAAAGGGAGCGTCTTGTGTGCGCAAGGAGCTGCGTTCCTGCCGCTGGCGCCATTTCCAGCCCGGAGCTCCCGCGGGCTCAGCCTGAGGGACAGCCTTCCTCTCGGGCGGCGCAGGAGCCATTGAAGGGATGTCTCCTGTCTCCACCATCTTTGATGTGTTTGGCTAATAATTTTCATGTGTAGGAGAGACCAGAAATTTTCAATCTTGCATTGTCACAACAGTACATCTAATTTCTTCCTAAYGATGCCACCCGGAGACACAGGCTCCAGTCAACAATTTAAGCCAAAAGCTTCTTCCCCACTGTTATTGGATGTTGTTGAGTAGAATTAATTTGGGTTTGGTTTTGCTGGATTTGGGGGCTTTTTTTCGAGACATACTGCTCATCAGATGAAGCTTGGAAGAGTTACCTGGTGTGGGGCTATAGAGTTACCTCAAGGCTGGCAGCAGCTTGCTCCTGCCTGCAAAAAAAAAGATGTGAGCTGATGGTAAAATAGCTCTAATGAAACCACTGTCAAGGAAGAAACTGTCATGGAGACGCATCACCACCCATTTTTAAGGTCTCAAAATTGCCCTATGAATTGATAGACTTTGATCTGTGGTATCACACTATCAAACTAATWACATAACCAGAGACATGTTGAAATTTCAACATTGAATCCCATTCACTCCATCAGGTCAACTGGCTCCTGACCATCTTCATTATTASCCTGGAATATCTTATTGGTTGGTAAAACTCAGAACCATTTTAAGTTGTCTTCCATACTATACATTTGCCAACATTCCTAGTCATATGTCTCAGGAGGATGTCTTCTGTTCTACAAGAGTGTGTATCCATACACATTCAAGTTCCCATGAAGTTCACAAAGAAGTTCAAGARAACTTAAGCACCAGCAATGGATGGAAGAAAACAAGTAATTTTCTAATTAAAACACATTAAGAGAAACCTATCWTTCATAGTAGTCACTAAAAAAGTAACCAAAGAATACTTTTATCTTACCACTGCCATAGCAAGAGACATAACCTAACAGTGTTATATAGGACTATGATGCAGCATTAGAACATTTTTATTAATGTTTTTGATTATACAGCTCAAACAAAATTTAATGGTTTTGCTTGAAGTTTTGGAGCTCTACGAAGTGCATTTATATATTGAAGTTTATAAWTCCAGAGAAATGTTTTTCCACTATAGACATGTAACCTTAATTTTAAATTCCTATGTTCAAATATAGCAAAAAAAAAAAATTAAATATACCCGTGATTTTTCCTTTATTTTTTCAACTGRCATCAAGGAGAAGGATGAAAAAGTTCAGGCACCCATGTAAATTCCTCTTCCTTTATAAAACCATGTATAATTCAGATTATTTTTAAGAATAATCCATGTAGAGTAATTATTTTTATGGTTTGAAAGAGTTAGCATTAGCTCAAATGCTAAGCAGCAAAATCTCTTCATGAACACCAGAAAACTGAAGCATATGTATTTATAGATGCCACACCACTGCTTGCATGGATGAAAGTAACTTCACTAGAAAATGTCAAATGTCTTGACTGGGAGTAGATAAATTCAACAAAGCTGGGCCAAGTTTGTTCATCAGCTTACAAGAAGAGTGACATCCTTCTATCTGTCAAGGAGAAAAATTGTCTCAAAAAGCAGTCAACTGTATTTGAACGGAGGAGTAATCTGATATATTTTGAAAAGTTTATGTTTGATCAGAAATATTAAAAACACTTAACCAAGCCAACCTTCAAGTGATGTGTATTGTATTGTAAGAATAGGATTAACATAGTTTAAAGCTACTTCTTGCTGTCAAGCATTATTTATGCATGATAAAGAGTAGTGGCATTTGTTCTAGACTTAGAACTTTACTTTCTTCATCTACCATTTCCTCCAGTATTTTTCTTCTTTTTCTGTACTTAATTTCACTTTTGTCTACTTATTCTCAATCCTTTTTGGCCATTAAAAAAAAAAAAAAAGATGTGAACAGACAATATGGGTTGATGGAACAAGTGTTCTCCTGGTCATGGCATAATGGAATTCTGGTCTACTATTTGTTTGCTCAACTTCAAAAAATAGTAGTGGATGGAAAAGAAATTTAAAAGACAAAATCGAACAAAACAAAAGAAAGCAGACTTTTAAAACACCTATGATCAGTAACAACATCATTTTGGTTTGTTATATAATAATTCCTCTATCGGTGTTCTGATTTTTGAGATTCATTAGGCACAGCAGCTTTTCTTTGTAGACTAAAGCTCTTAATGAAAAGGTACTTAGGAAAAAAAAAACTCTTCTGTGAGGGTGATGAAGCACAGGAACAGGTTGCCCASGGAAGCTGTGGATGCCCCACCTCTGGCCACGTTCCAGGCCAGGTTTGATGGGGTTCTGAGCAACTGGTCTAGTGGAAGGTGTCCCTGGCCATGATACAGGGGTTGGAGCTAGATGATCTTCAAAGTCCCCTTCCAACCCAAACCATTTTATGATTCTGTGATATGTATGTGTGTTTGTGCTCTACATAACAGAACCCATAGAATTTTTAAAAATTAAAAAAGAATGTTTTGTATGAAACATTACCTGTGGTTTTCATTATGGTTGTTGAACTACATATACATTTCATGATATTTGCAAACAAATCATTATGAATTTATAAGCAGATTGCATTCAGCTGTTTAATTTGAAGTTTTTTTAACCAAAAGTRATCTTTCTAARGGTCAAATAAGGAAACAATACAWCCTATYCCATAARATTATTATTCATTGCATAATATAAYATGCCTTTATGCCATATYCCATATGTAAGTTTTGAAACAGTAAATAACAACCTATGTTATGAACAATTTATGTTCTAGACAACTTCTCCGCAGAAGACATTCCAATAATGTAAAGACTAAGAATGTTATACCTTACAATTTGTTCTTCTGGAATCATTTTAAGGGGATTTACCATAATCAACATAATCTTTACTTGCAAAGTAATTTTTATTAATTTTTCAACATTTGAGGGTTTCAGTTGGATAAATTTCTTAATGGAGAAGAAATGATATWGCAAAACATAAGATAGGATCTTAAAACTGGAAGATACTTCTTAGGTCACTGAGTCCACTATCTTGCTATTACAGGAAACTGTGTCATATAATCCCTTGCAGAAACTTTTCAAGCCACATCTTAATGGTAGCTTGATATGTTTACCCCGTATTTCTGTTGCAAATCTGTTCCAGAACATCATTGTTTTGGTGGTTAGAAACATCCTTCTAATTTTCACACTAAATTTATTCAAGAATCCCTTTGGTTTTGTGCCAATATTCATCCTTTGGCTTAAATAGTTCTTCTCCCTCCCTGGTGTWTAGCCCTGATATATTTATAGACAGTCATCATATTCCCTCTCAGCCTTCCTTTTGCTAGACTAAACACAGTTTTTTTGTCTCCTCTTGCTCAATGGATCTTCATTTCACTGGTCATTCTACTAGGCTTTGTTGCTACCCATCCCAGTCTGAACTCATCTGTCTGGATMTGAGTTCAAATTCCCATAATAATCCATTTTAGACTAAATTACTACATTGTACAGTAGATCAATATTTCTATGTCTCCATTAAATATTAGTCTTGGGTGTGTAGTTGCCTTTTTGCTTAAATACATTAGATAACCACCATCTATTCTAGTGGTACCTGTGTTGTTTTCTACCACTCAGCTACTGGGAAAGTTCTCCATTAACAGCAGAATTTTTAATAGCCTCCAAGTGCATGAACTTGCATTTTGTATTATAGCTGTTTTGTTTCCGTTAGTTCAATCATCAAGGTCATTCACTGTTTTTCCATATGACTTCCCACTGTCGCTGTATTGATGGTGCTGCCTGGTTTTGTGCTGCCTGCCACTCCAATAAGCTTATTTTCCCTTCTTTGCCAAACAGTAAGATCAATCCCAAGAATAACTCCCAAAGAAATCTACTAGTGGACTCTATTCATTTGGGTACTCTCCTGTTTGGTACTACCTGCTGCTATTTCCCTCATTCTGCTCTGAAAAATATCACCTTATCTCTGTGATTCTTAATGTGTACCAAAACTCTTCTACTCAGTCCCTCTTTCTCTGAAAGCTCTACTTAGTTACCTTTTTTAATGAACTGTGTTAGCATCTGCCCCTTGGAGAAAGGGCAAATAATTTTCATTTCAAACTTCTGAGCTAYTCTATTCAGTTGACTTGGTTAACTAGGTCTTAGTTTACCAAAATTTCCTTTATGAAAGCAAGGGGTTTAGACCTGCTTTTGTTCTCTTTACACAACATTAACTTTAGGATCATTTTCTACAACCAGTTTTTCTATACTGTCCTGTTCTCAAACTGTGAGTCCAAGTCTAAAATAGAACTATTTCATSTTGGTTTAGTGACATTTTGCTGAGAAAAGCTGTCAGCTATAACATTCAGCTATATTTGGGGCCCTGCCACCRTTAATAACATTTGTTCTCCAACCTACTAAACCAATTAAGTAAAGATGAAAGGTGAGTAGCTTTTTGCCACTTTAGTGA